ACCTGAGGTTGCCCCCCCCACTTGGCACCAGGCTGGGGGACCTGAGGCTGTGCCCCCCGCCCAGCAGGGCTTGACTGGGGACCTGAGGCTGTGACTCCTGACTGGTGCCAGGCTGGGGGATCTGAGGCTGCTCCCCCTGCCCAGTGGGGCTTGATGGGGGTGGGGCCAGCCAGGTCTGGGTCTTGAGCAATTTTGAGATGCACGCAGGTGGGCAGGGACTTGACTCTGGGTCCCGAGGCGTGCCCCAGACTCTGACAGGAGGGAGATTTTCATACACATTTTATTAATTTTCTTTCATCTCTGACACTTCTATTATAGAGAAAAGGCAAATAGCAATATTAAAAATATTTCCTCTAATTAATTCCCTTTTAATGTGCATGAATTTTGTGTACCGGGCCACTAGTTTAAAGATAAAAGGAAGTCATTTCTATGGCATAAAGAAAATAAATAAACTGAGTCTTCAGATTTAAAGGCACACCTGTTGCAGAAAAATCTGTTAAGAATGCTGAACATGGCCCTGACCGGTTTGGCTCAGTGGATAGAGTGTTGGACTGCGGACTCAAGGGTCCCGGATTCGATTCCAGTCAAGGGCATGTACCTTGGTTGCAGGCACATTCTCTATGGGGAGTGTGCAGGAGGCAGCTGAATTGATGTTTCTCTCTCATCAATGTTTCTAACTTCTCTATCCCTCTCCTTTCCTCTCTGTGAAAAATCAATAAAATATTAAAAAAAAAAAAAAAGAATGCTGAACATGATTAACATAGCAGCCATGAACTCTCCATAAAAAAAACTACCTGACAAGGGAATGCACCCAATAGGAGTCAAATCAACATAAAGAACCCTGGAACGGAGACACTGTGGTAAAGTTACTGATCACTGTATCCATCTAAACAGAACAGAGTCAAACAACTGTGGGATTATAATTACAGCACCGGATGCTACATTATAAAGAAGTTTTAGAGGAGGGGGTGGAGGGAGAAGTGTGCAGGAGTCATCTTTCACAGCAGAGTTTATACATATTATCAACAATTGAAACGTGTTTATAAAATAAACATAATCACTTCAACTTAATGTTTTTCATGACCTCTAAATCTTAGAGGGATCTTATAAGAAATATTAACTCTTGTAGTGAAGAAATATATACTTGAAAGTCAACAATTCTTTTAGTTGAACTTTCTCTTTTCTCCATTCAAATCAGTTAGCAGTAAATTTCATACTTACATGCAACTTGCATTCTCCACCTTAATTAAGACTTCAAATGCAGGCAGCATGATTAATGGGAGACAACCCTGATAAGAGGTAACAGGAAGTTCACAGGGTTAGCAATGAAGTCGTGTTGCCAAGATTGTTTAATCTCCCTGTAATCAAGTCTTTAGATCTAACTTCCAGGGAGGGAATAGAGGAAAATAAACTCAGTGACACTTAAGGAAATAAATCAGGAAATCCAGACCATGGGGCATTTTACACACAGCTGGCCAAGGGGTGGAATGAGGCCCTTTTCCAGATAGAAATAAACTGAAGACATAGATCAAGGCAGTGCATGAAGCTGGATTGGATTTTCATTCCAATCAACTTCATAAAAACAACTATAAAAACTTCTTGGGGACAATAGGAATGGGTATAAAGTTGGTATTGGATTATTTTTGGAAATTGCTGCTAAATTTAACAGAAAAAAATGATAACTATGTAGAAGAATATCCACATTTCAGGAGAGGCATGTTGAAGTATTTCAGAGTGAATATCATGATGTTTGCAACTTACTTTCAATGGTTCTGAGGAAAAAATGCAAATGGCAACATGTTAACCCTTGCATCTCAGTGGTGTGCATACGGGTGTTCATTGTACTTTGCTTTCCATTTTTCTGTATGCTTAAAACTTTTCATCATAAAATGTGATGGGGAGGATGTAGGTGATCCTCAAAAAAATTAAGTAATTAAGTGAAAGTCCCCTTCCCAACTCCTTTTTGGATTCAGGAAAACTATTTATAAATGAACTAGAGGCCCGATGCACGAAATTCGTGCAAGAGCAGGCCTTCCTTCCCCCGGCTGCCGGCACCCGCTTCCCTCTGGCACCCGGGACGGGCTTCCCTCACAGCCCTGGCTTCGTCCAGAAGGACGTCCGGTCTAATTAGCATGTTACGCTTTTATTGTTAGAGATGAGTAACTATGTGACACTTATAGTGTGGACCCATTTATATAAAAAGTAATTCAATCTATGCATCTGTCTTCAATCCATCCATCTAAAGAGCAGGAGGAGGGTAGGGGTGTGGAGGTGTCACATCAAGAGCAAAGCCTGAAAGAGCCATTTCTGGGACCAGGAGAGCTGTTTGAGGTTCCTGATCAACAATTCAGTGTCAAGCCCCCCAGCCAGTGGTTTTTCTCTCGGGACAGTCAGAGCTGCTCAAGCTCTGGAGGAAGGAGGCAGATGAAAGGAGGGGCGGTGCTGGACACGACAGCCCAGGAGGGGGGCCTCACGGCACTCACGTGGCTTCCAGGGCGGGCCCTGTGGACTGCGGGAGGCTGGAGCACGTGGTCCTGGAGCCGCCCGGCAGGGGCATGGGACCAGACCCCGTGGCTCTGGATGCTGCACGTGCACGCTGCGGCCAGGGGGTGACCAGGCCTCCCACTCTGAGTCACGGGGCTCGGGTCCCAGCACTGGGAGCAGGAAAGCGCTGGGGGCTGGTGAGGAGTCGCTAGGGAGCCTGTGCAGGGGTGTGAGGGGGAGCCACCGGCCCCTCCGCTGCTCTGGCCCCTGGCTGGGAGCAGCGTCTTCCGGAGAGGCACGTTTTCATCAGAGTTCTGAGAAAATTGAGAACTGGTTTCGTTCCTTACCACCGACTTCCCATTCCCCCACGGATGCCCTCCGCCACTTTTGCTGGTATAGAAACTGAAAGGGCGAGTCGTCGTGGGGCTTACGTGGGCTGGCCGCCGGGGCCCATGAGGCACAGCCTGACCACGCTGCTGGCAGCCTCGGGCACCGACTCCCCAGCCCACGGCAGGAGCCTGGCGCAGGCTGCCCCCGGACCGGACCCACGCGGCAGCAGGGGGTGGGGGTGCGTGCCCTCGCCCAAGGAGATGGAGGAGGAGGCAATCGCCAGCGTCCCCAGGAACGAGATGGAGGATGTGGACTTCCTGTCTGGGCTGGAACTGGTCGATCTGCTGGACCCCCGGCAACCGGACTGGCCCCTGGAGCCCGGGCTCAGCTCGCCCTGGGGGGCGGCTAGGACTGCGCCCTCCATCTTGCCCTGGGTCCTCCATTTTTGGGGCAGCCGCCATGTGCTCAGGAGGGTACCTCCTTCCCGGAGGCCTAGGCCCCTTCTGGCCACGCCCAGGATTTCTTTAAACTAACCAATGACAATCAAGGGACGTGCACGCCATAGAGATGACCACATCCTGTGTAAGAAGACCCAACTCGCGCCTGGCCAATCGGCGGGGCCCACAGTCCCCGCCCCTGCCCTTACTATAAAACCCACAATCCCATCAGGCCTCGCGCTCTCGGCCACTGGGGCTTACCGTTGCGTTGCATCGGTGAGTGTGGCAGGGGAGCTGAACTAGTTCGAAATGAAGGACTCTTTGCTTTTGCCAACAGACTCGCTGGCTCCCTGGTGGGCTTTTTGGGAACCTTGAAATCTGGGCACAACAGAAACCTCACATCACCGGGCGGGTGTGGGACCTGCTGCTGGGTGAGCCCCGCGCCCGGGAGGCAGAAAGAGGAGACACACAGCCATGCTTGTGAGCTGGATGCCATTTAGCTCTGTGTTTTTAAAGCATCATTTCTACGTTTTCATGTCATAAAGCAGTGGTTCTCAACCTCTGGCCCCTTAAATACAGTTCCTCATGTTGTGACCCAACCATAAAATTATTTTCGTTGCTACTTCATAACTGTAATGTTGCTACTGCTATGAATCGTAATGTAAATATCTGATATTCAGGACGGTCTTAGGCGACCCCTGTGAAAGGATCGTTCGACCGCCAAAGGGGTCGTGACCCACAGGTTGAGAACCACTGTTAAAAAAATAGCATGAAAACGGCAACAAAACAGCTGACCACCTGCACAGCCACCATGAATCTGAAAGCCTTGCTTTCCCAGCTCATCCCAGCACCGGCTGACACTTCCAGGCCGCCAGCGACCTCTGTCCAACTGAGAAAAGATAGCATGATGTTGAACTAAAACCAAATAAAATAACTAAAACAAATAACTAAGACCACCATCCGCCTTGTACCCCAACCACAATCTGCTCAAAATCAGAGAAGAAACGTCCCCTGAGCTACAGCTCCCTGACCTGTGAAGGCGGTGAGGACTAAGGTCATCTCTCCGTCCAACCTACAACACGACATCGCCCGGGCAGCTAATGCTCAGATCAGATGTCTATGGTTATTGCCGTAACCAAATCACACCAACCCTCCTCCCCTCAAACCTGCTCCTGGCGCATGTTGAGAAGAGAGAATGGACAGTGTTATTTGAACAAGGTCTCCCATTGCATAACACACTACATTACAGAAATGTGAGCCAATTACACAGAAGGGTTACAAGGTTTTGTCTCCCTGAGACAAAAACTCTAGTTTCTCCTTCAATCATGGAACTCGAAATGCTAACGATGGGAAGGCGGGAGCATGGGCTGTCTCCCGTAATCCTCTTCCTGGCTGGGCACTGCCCTTCATCTTCCACGCGCTCCGGCCGTGCTTACTGCTCCCTCTTCCAACAAGAAGGCCCGTGTTGGAGGCACTGACTACGGGGCCAGAAAGTACACCTGCCCACTCAGGTTCAGACGTGGGGCTGAGCTTCTCGTGCCGTCTGGCACAACGCCCAACCTCCCAAACACGCCCACGAACAGTGATCTCTCGTATTGTACCCTAGGTGTTCACGTGTCCTTTTTCATTGGCTTCCACTGCATGTGTTCGATGACCCAGGTTTAGGCATTGGGCTATTCTGATTTCTTCAAAGCGGGGTCTGTGTTTCCCATGGACACCAGCAAACACACTGCAACTCTGGGAGAGACCTGGTAGCAGTATCAACAGCCATAGGCCCACCAAAAAATACCCAAAATCTATTGCTCCCCCATACCCCATGCTAACCCTACCCCAGTCCAAGCAATCTCGTAGAATTATCTAGAATACTGCAGTTGCTTCCTAGCTCTTCTCCCTGCTCCCAATATCATTACTTCTCCACCCACCCATCAACCAAAGAAATCTTAAAAACACGTTATGTCATAGCATTCCCTTTGGAAAACCTTCCCAGGGACTTGCAATTGCATTCAGACTACAATTAAAATAATTAGTTTGGTTTGAAGGTCTCCCTGCTTCTACCCTTGTCCCCCAATATCTGATCTCAACACAGCAGGCAGAGTGATTTAGACCCTGCTATTCCTCTGCTCCTCCCAGTGGCTCCCACCCAGCTCAGAGCCCCCACGGTGGCCGCAAAGGCCCTACACTACCTACCAACCCATCACCTGGGACCCATTTAGTACCATTCGTTCCCACCCAAGCTCCTTACTCGTCTCACTTAGGTCTTGGCTCAAATGTCACTTCCTTGGTGAGGCTTCACTGACCATGACAAGATGGAATGCTTTCCCATGCCCACACTCCCTACCTCATTCCGTTTTCCTGCCTGATTTTTTTCCTCTTGACTGCACAGCCACATCTGCCATGACATAAATTCTAGCAGTTTATTTCTTAATTAGAGGCCCAGTGCACAAATTTGTGCACCAGTGGGCCCTTGGCCGAAACTGTGGGATCAGGCCAAAACTGGCTCTCCAACATCCCCCAACGGGTCCTGGATTGCCAGAGGATACAGGGAGACTGAGGGACCCCACCAATGCACAATCAGGGACAGGGAGGAACGCAGGAGGTTGGCCAGCTGGAGAGGGACCGCAGGAGGACTCCAGGGCATGTCCAGCCCATCTTGCTCAGTCCCTATTGGCCAGACCCCAGCAGCAAGCTAACCTACTGGTTGGAGCATCTGCCCTGTGGTGGTCACTGGGCGTCATAGCAACTGGTCGACCAGTGGACTGTCTGCCCCCTGGTGGTCACTGGACATCATAGTGAGCAGTTGATCAGCCTTAGCATATCATTAGCATATTACGCTTTGATTGGTTGAATGGATGATCAGACGACCGGACACGTAGCATATTAGGCTTTTATTATATAGGATTCACTAGAACGCTCCATGTAAGCTCTGGGAGGATGGATGTACGCTCTATGACACTTGGGGTGTTGATCTGCTTTACTCACTTCTGTATCCCAAGTGCCTAGAACAGTGCTTGGCACAAAACAGTTTCTACATTAATATTATTGAATGAAGGAGCTGATCCTGCCTTCCCTGCCCACCTCCCAGACATCTCTCCTCCTCCCACTTGCTCATTCAGCTCCTCACAGCGCCCTCTCTCTGTTCCCACAGCAGGCCACGTCCACGCCCCTTCAACACCTTCCCCGCTGTCTGGAATGCTGCAGCACCAACCCCTCCACCCGGGCACTCGCATTTCACACCTGGAACCGTCTTGCTGATCGTGAACCCACTTGTTTATTTTCTGTCTCCACCACTAACTGGAACCTCCCAGCAGAGGCTTTGTGTTGTTCACAGCTGCTTCCCTGGTGCCTGCAACTGCTTGGCGCATAGTAGGTGCTGCTCAGTAAGTATGTGGCAGGTGTAACCAGCCCAGCTCACGTGGGTCTCCACTTTCTCAAGCATTATAAGAAGGCTGACGATGCTCTGGCATCTCCTTATGCCCTTTATAAAATGCTGATTTACAGTCTGCAGCAAGTATAGTTTACAAAGAGCCTCACTTATGACAGGTCTTGCGAAGCTCTGGGAGGCCACTTACAGGGTTGTAATTACTCAGCTTTTGCATCTGAGAAAACTGTTAACTGTCCCAGGAGGGACAGCCACTGCACGGTGGAGCTGGGTCTGAATTCACAGCTTTCAACGCTGCTCCTGTGACAGCAGAATTAAACAGGTTTTTCTAGTCTTTACAAGAAGGTTCAAGGAACCGCAAATCTGCTGGTTTAGCACACTCGCAATCCAAGACAGTAATCATGGGAACTTGGCGTTGTTTTCCCCAGCGGTCCGTGAACACGCCGGTCGGTTGAGAAAGATCACACAATACAAATGAGCTTATGCGCTCAGGACTGACATGCTCACTGAACATCTAGATACAATTTAAACGTGTTCACTTGTTCAGCTCATGGGTGCACCTGGGAGCACTGGGACGAAGTTTCCCACAGCACAGCGTCGCGGGCTGTCCCGCGGGAGGAAGCAGTGGCCAGGCCGTCCCGCACGAGGGAGGGGGCTTGGCGAGGTGTGGCTGGGCTCCCAGAAGGTCCGGGCCTGTGAGACCCGGTCAAGATGCGGAGCACAGCCGCCCGTGGGTACCGGGACTCCGCTCTCCGGCCCCGCCCGCCCGGCCTGAGCGCACCGAGGGC